TTCGCTTTTTTACAGTGCATGGCTAGAGGTTGAATCAGAACACGTTCCTGGTCGTATTATTTGTGATTGCTGTCTGGGAAACTCAGTGCTGGATTTGTTATCCCTCGTGGTAAGATTCTTTGTTATTTTCACTGGTTTCCTACTAAAATGGTAAAAGACTTGCATTGTGAATGTATTTAGAAATCTCACATGAAGGTAGATTGAGAATTTATTGTCTCGTGTTCCTAAGTATGGTTTTTCGAATATCACAGGTGGATGCTGAAGGCATAGGTGGCTGGCAAGCTGGTCTGAGCTGCTGCTCTATTAAATATTGTTTTTTACCTCCAGTTGGTAAGTGTTTCACATCTTATAATTGTAGGTGGATTCAAATCCCTGCCTTTGTTAGTTCTACAATGTAGTGTTTGTTGGCAGGAGGTCTCCTACATACCCCCCAACAGTGTGGCTGTACACACTACACTTGGCCTGACTTTCTCTACTGGTTCTGAGCTCAACGCTGACCTGTGCACACAGGGCAGATGTCTCTGCGGTGACATAGATTTAAAATAACTACCTGATTGGACTTTAGTTTTTAAATTGAATTGCATAACTTTCATAATCTTAAATTAATTTAATTATTTAACCTTTTATGGTCGCACAAAGTAATGTGTAGGTCCTATGTACTCACGACTCCCTCAGATACTTAAGTGTGATTATTACAACAGTCTGTTCCTAACAGACTAGGCGCCCAACTTATTATTATTATTATATTACAAAATATATTGTATCTGAGCTAGTCCAGGGATTGTAACTTTAAATTGAAGGGATAAATACAAATTCTTAACCGCTAATAAATCTTTTATTAAATCTTCCCATCATATATACACCATTCAAAAAAAACGTTACAACTATTATGTTATCAATGCACGGTTAGGTAACTGTGTGCCAGTAAATACACTACTTGGTTTACCTTTATTATTGTAACGCTTTGTTTTGTTACACCACTGCATCCGTATTTAATATTTTTAATCGAATCCAAAATGAAGGAGGTTATCAATTCGGATGTTAATATGTTTTTTTAATGTTATTAATGTCCTGCTGTTTTTACCGCTAGCGGCTACTATTGTTTTATTGTGGGTCACAAATTGTTATGTAATTATAACACGCTTTAAAAAATCATGGATTAAATTTGACTGTATATAAAATGTACCATCTTACATACACAATTTAAAACAATGAATTCGAATTTCTTTTACGAGGTTAATTAATGCCTATTTAAATGTCATTAAATTGCTTAATATTTGTGTAAAAAATGTAAAGATAAGATAAAACAGAGGTATTTCCATATTTACTAATTAGTACAATAATTTTATGATTATGAAAAATATTTCATTTCATGAAAGAAATAAGCATAGAAATTTAGGTGCTCATTAATAATAACGTATATAAAGTAATAACGTATTTCCTCTTTTACCTGTGCTACCGTTTAACTATAAAATTCAATGATTCTCACCTCTAAAATTAATAGTATAACGTATAATTTGTTCCATGGACCTTTTTCGACGTCATCGATCACAGTTACAGTTTTATGATGATAGAAAATAAAATAAAGGAAGTGGAAATAATTTATTACTTTATTGATACAGCACTATCTTTTGTCCGATCGCACTTTGTTGATTTGATCATTCAGCGATGATTAGTTCGGGATACGAGCTTGTTAGATTGGAGTCAAATAAATTAGTTTGTTTGCAACAATGCTAAGAGAGTGAAGCCATTAATTTTTAATAATGCGACCCTTTTTATGGCAAAGGATGAATATATTCATGACATCACTGTACACCTTTTTTTGATAAGTTTTTTACCTACTTTGCGAGCGTAAAGGCGGTGTGGTTTTTTTCTCATTTTTTTCCTAAAAGTTAGAAGAAATTATTTACATATTAATGGTCCCGGAAATGAAAAATATATTAAATTCAAACGGAGCGTCGTCGTGACTCGTCAGTAAAGTACCAAACGGCTCTATTTCGAGGGTTCGTACACAGAGCAGTTGTTAACAGACAGAGACATTGTGTTTATTAAAGATTTAAACCAAAAATTTTAATATGTTTTAAAGAAATATATTGTATTATTATTGTGAATCAGCACCCGATTAACATTTTAAATAAAACCGTTGCCGATAAACAGAAATTGTTTTGCGTAACGAATAGTAAGTATAAATTCTTCTGCGTTTTTATGTGAGAAGGTGGCAAACTAGGTGGTGGTTCACCTGATGTTAAGTGAAGGCCGCTATTCATGAACATTTGCAACACCCGTAGGGTTGTAGATGCGTATCCACCTTTTAATAAATCGGCCCCGGCTACCTCACCAACCAGACGAAACGCAGAAATGTAACTTCACTTCCACTTCACGCAGGTCCTTCTGTGAGGTTGTTCTACTTCCCTGACGGACCTGCCCATTAGTGCCACAGCAAAAACTGTTGCTTGGCCCTTCCACAGAAAGTACTAGTTGCACGAACGTAAAGTCTCATCCGGGGAAGTACCTAACCCAGCCTTACAGAAGGCTCACATAAAATAGAATTATTTTATATCCATGTTAATAGTTTTATAAGTTAATTCGCGTTTCAGTTTTAAACCTATTAATTTCGAACTGAAAACTTCAGGCTCAATTATCTAGTTGAAGTAACTGAAAAGGTTATAATGCAAATATTAAATAATTAAATTAAAATTATTTCGCTATTACAAAAATTGTAGTTAGCAATTCTAGAAGCTATTACATTTACAATGAACGTTGATTTTGTTACGAAATTTATTTATTTATATATGCTAAAGAATCATATGTCTGTAAATTCATTACTCTATATCCCACAAAAGGGTTTCACGGAGGCTTAAAACAGCCACTTATTATGTATGTTACATTTCACTTTCAGACGTCATTTATATTCAAATGCTCAAAAGGCATTACTGCGCAAAAATTGTTGCATTAACCCCTTTGAAATGAGCGAAATTGGTTTCGACGAGTAATTCATTTTTCAGAATCCGCTGTTATTCACCAATTTCCATAGTCATTTCCGTAGTAAGGCTGTGATATTTTTTCATGTCCCAGCAAATTCTGTGGCATATAATAATGAAACGTGTCTAATTAAAGGAGCAGGATTTTTTATGTAAGATGTGGCAAACAAGCTGGCAGTTCACCTAATGTTAAGTGATAACCGCCGCCCATGGACATTTGCAACACCCGTAGGGTTGCAGATGCATTGCCACCTTTTAATAAAATGGGGCCTGGGTAGTTCGCTCACCAGACGAAACGCCGGTCTTCTGTGTGGTCGTGGTACTTCCGGCCGGACTTGCTCATTCGTGTATTAGCCGAAATTGCTACGTGGATCTAAAGGACAAATATGATGATTTTCTCATATTTTAGTGAGTTTAGTCATGATACATAAACTACACACTTTTAAATGGTTGTTAACGCCCAACTGACGACCCGAATGGCGTAGTCGGTAGTGTTCCTGCCTTCTGCGCCAGAGGGTGTGGGTTCAATCCCCACTACTGGAAAAATATTGTGTGATGAGCATAGTTTTTTTCTAGTGTCTGGGTGTTTATATATGTATGATATGTATTTATTTACAAAAGAAAAGTATGTTTAAGTATGTCTATCAGTTTTCTAGTACCCATAGTACAAGTATTGCTTAGTTTGGGACTAGAGAACGTTGTGTAAAAAGAATGTGTCCTAAAAAAACGCATTTAGAAACCCTCAAGTGTCTCAGATATCTATGGGCGGCGGTAACCACTTAACAGCAAGTAAACCGCCAGTTCGCTTGTCAACTTTTACATAACATGAAGAAAAAGAAAAATAAAAAGTCAATTGTGTTATAAATATACCGTACTATGAATGATTTCTAAAAGTTGATAATATCTGACATTATTAACTTAGGCGTATTCTTCGGAAGTTGCCGCTTAACGATTGACAGCGATCATAACATGTAACTAATACAGTCGCAATGATATCAGCGTACCATCACAAGTATTAATAAATACAATATAAAACGGAAGCATCCGAAGACTAATAACTCACAATCAAAGAGCACCCGCGGAATGGGGTAGCGGCGATGCGACGGAGCCTCGTACAAAATGATTACGCGTACCGTCTTCATTCGTACACAAAGAAACGCAGCGGGGCCCCCTGATATTATACTTTCGCCTTTGAGGTAGCCCCACAGCTCAGTGGGTAGCATGCTTTATGGTTTCAAATGATCAAACCGTTTGTCTGTGGTCCTGTTTGCGTACACCGCACGGCGCCACGACTAATTCGTCGATTTTGTTCCATCACTCCGCCGGATGCTGCTAAGTCACTATTAATTGGTATCAATGTTGCTGCACACTTGTGTTATTTCATTAATTTGTATTGTTAACTTTTTATATACATCTCAATTATTTTTTGAGTATGGTTCTGGACTATGTTAATTTTTATAACAAAGTTCAGCTGTGTGTTCCGTTGGGTCATGTTGATTATTTTTCAGTCTTTATTTGATAGGCCGTCAGTTACAAAATAGTTGTTTTATATTTATATACCCAAACACACGCAAAAGTGTAATAAATAATTCACCAATATGTTATTTGGTACAGTAATATAATGTTAGAAATTTCGAAACTTACGAGTAAGTAATACGCACTTACAAATAGAAAAAGTTAAAGTTCTCATAAGCCCGCGTCAGTAAGCTTTTGCCTCGAGCGACGTCTCAGCGCCAAATAAAGTATAAGTGTCTGACTGTGTAATCTTGTAGGGTATCTATCAATTAATACTCATATTTATTTAAGTGATACTAAGGAAAATAACTAAACAGAAGTGTAATCTATAAAATTGTTCTTAAATTTTGTTAAATTGAAACAATTTTATTGAAGAAAAAAATTCTATAACGAATATCTTAAAAAAAATTATATATTTGATTATATTTGAAATCCTTTGTATTAAGAGAAGATGCTCTTTGCAGGTTGCGTGATGAAAGAGGTGACATTGAACGTGTAATAGCGATGGACAAAGCTCGGGAGGGTTCACACAATGGTAATTGGAGCATAATTTTTTCATTAGTAACGTATTGTGAAATAATGTTGAAATAAGTTAATTACAATCAATGGCCCATAGAATAGTAGCAATGACAACGTGGTAATAAAGCAGTTCGAAGTACTAAAAACCATGTCGCATAGGTGTCCGTGTAACGAAAGGCTTCGTTCTTTACAAAGAACCGATTTATGGAGGTGGTAAGTTCATGAAAGGTTAACTCAATTGTAAGTGTTGACTAACGCACACGAATATATAAAAGTAACAGCCTGTACATGGGCCACTGCTGGGCAAAGGCCTCCTCTGTACAGAGGGCATCAGGGAATAGTCCACCACGCGGTCCCGCTGCTGATTGGCGGACTTCACAAATCTTCGAAACATTTTTTTTGTTAATATTCCGAAAATATGCAGGTTTCCTCACGATTTTTTCCTTCACCGCTGAGAACGCATCGAACTCAGGTTGCTCGAGTAAATTGAATTAAAGGCGAGCGCCCGGACACTGAGCTATCACGGCTCTATAAACACGATATCCGAAACAAGGAATAGGTACCTTTCTTGAAGGTCTCCAATCGTGAAGTCATCACCGTCACGAAAACACGCAACTGTGATTTTTGATTTATGAAAGTTCCCTTTCTTGTAGGCTCCTCCCCTGGTCACAGTCCCGTCCTCAACTTGTCCAAGTCCGGCTCTGGCGACCGGGAGCGGCAGGAGCGCGCTGATCGGGACCGGGCCGAGAGGGGAGAGGGGTCCGCCAGCGGCAGGAGCTCGGCCGCCTCCAGGCGCACCCCCCAGCCCCCGCGGCTCCCCTCCACCGCAACAGCTGCTGCCTCGCCCCGCTCCCACACCGACGAGAGCGACGCCGCCCTCTCCGATCAAGATGACCACAACGTCAAGGATGAGGATGATGGTCAGTATTGTACGAGTATGTACTTATCTCTTCTTCTACCTGGCATTAATCCCGGCTATTGCCAGGGTCTGCCTTTCTACTTAAACTTCTCCACTTTGCCCGGTCTTCGACATCCGCAGGGGTCAGTCCATTGGCTCTCATGTCCTTTTCCACGACGTCCAGCCATCGCTTCCTTGGGCGTCCAGGGGGTCTAGTTCCTGGAACAGGTATATGAAGGCATATCCTTCCGACATAGTTTTCCGACCGGCGTGCGACATGGCCATACCATGGCCATACCACGACATGGCCATACGAGTATGTACTTATCTATTGTTTTGAAACCAATTGGTCTGGTGAAGCGACTAGTAGTATACTTACTATAAGTAAGACTAGCGGAAATCAAATATAACGAGAGACTAGCAAGACGATAAAAACAGCTCAACTGCGAAGGCGGTCAGAGGTATTTTAACCCATCAGTGTTACCTAGATAGTTATAGAAATAATTGAAAATATTCATGTTTTTTTTTGTGAGAAGGTGGCAAACGAGCTGGTGGTTCACCTGATTTTAAGAGATAACCGTCGCCCATTGATTTATAGGTTTATTAAGAACTGGTTCCATAAGATCCACGAAGACGTGTTGTCCTTCGGTTTTCCGATCGAATTTTATCTTTCCCAAAATATGGGCTTATTATATATATTATTACATATTTCAAATTTATATACCCATTTTGCGGTGGTAGGGCCACGCATGTGTTTGCTGTTGCACGAATGGACAGGTCCGTCCGGGTTAGTACCACGGTCTCACAGAAAACCGGCGTAGAGTAGAAGTGTACTTCTGCGTTTCGTCTGGTGAGTGAGATAGCCGGGGCCCACATTATTAAGAGGTGGCAACGCATCTGCAACGGGTGTTGCAAATGTCCATGGGCAGGCGGTTTTCACTTAACAGCAGGTGAACTTCCAGCTCATTTGTCACTTCCTCACGTAAAAAAAATATATATTGAACAAAAGAACATTGAAGTTTTGTAGCAAAAAACAGTTTACTGTTCTATTCCTTCCCGTTGTGTAGCATAAAACGCTGTTGTCAATGAAGCGACTCCATACTTGAGAGATCAATGAAAATTTATCTTTTGTAAGTCTCGAAGATCGTTCTAACCTCACATTGAATCGTAAATATTTCATAAAATCTGAAATTATCTCTAAGCATACTTTTAGAAAAATATGGGTTGCTCCATATATTATTACACAAATTACACAAATCATTTCTCAATACAAAACAACCTTCAACATACAGTCTGCAAATAAGAACGAAGAAATTAAAGACGAAGCCGACGATGTGTTTCGGCCTCAGTACAATTTAACAAATTGCTTATTCAATAAGATTGATTTAAATAAAAAGTTGAAAATCTTCACAGTTTGCCGTATCTGTGATTCGCTGCGTTTACACGTTAACTTATCGACTGTGAATATAATTAAAGTCAGTTGTCGTAGGAATATGTCGTATATCGGGGCTTTACATTTTCTGTGTGTATTGCTCGAAGTTATTGCCCTCTAGTAGTGCTAGAACACAACAGCGCTGATATTACCAGCTGTACCGTAAACTACATATGGTTTAATCGTATAGCGAATCGTGGATAAACATAATGAAAAGATAATGAATGCACTCGATTGGATTAGCCCTTAAATATCATTGATAAATTAAATCCAAATTGCCCCGCACAATGATTAGAGATGCGCGTCGTTGCTAAAAGCAGTCAACAATTTTCTCCGCCGACATTAATAAGCCGTTCGTGTTCGTTCCCATACTGGAGCCCGTCTTGATCCCTAGACACCGCACGTTTGCTTATAATGGACCGATATAATAAAATCTTATTACGAGTATTGCCCGCAATTGCCCTCAATGATGTATGAATAGCACTCAAAACGACCCAATTCAATTTTGCACCTTAGACCGAGAGCAAATTACTCAAACTCGATATTTTGAATTACAAAACATTAAGCCCGTTTACAGATTATTTATAATATGAAGCATGTACAGAGATACGTATTTTAAAAAGTTTGTCATTTTAGCTCAGTGTTCGGGCGCCACACCACGCCTTTTATGTAGAATACTCTCCTTCCAAATCCCCGTGCCAGCACCAATGAAATTGTTAATTGTAATTTAAAATTCTGATTTATCACTAATTCGCCGATGTAAGATTCCGTATGAAAACGTGCATTATTTCAAAATTATAATAAAAAAAAGTGAAGTCTGTAGTTGTATACCATAATACCCTTTATACAGAAGAGGTCTTCGCCCAGCGGAGTGCAAACACGTACAGGCAGTTACATTGCCTACTTTTTTAAGATGTCGTTCTAATAACGCCACTTTGAGTTGATAATAATCGATTTTAATTTAACATTAGATGAATATTGTGTCAGAGCAATTGATTAACAACAAAGTCGATCATTATCATAATAAATCTCGTCCGCAATGTGAGAAGATCCCGTAGATTTCGCTATTACCACAGATCTCAGGCTATTAGTGGTGATGGATGACATGACAATTTCTCTGGCGACATATTAACATTCGTTTTATCTGCGGCTTTTTGTAGATTGAATCTGTTTATTGCCTTGCTAAAATATTCTATTCATTTTAGATCACCAGTTAGATCATCAATCAAGTGAAAACTCGTTATAAGCTTACTGCAACAAAATTGTTGAAGCGGTCACACGTATGTACGTTCGATTAAATTAAAGATAATAGATATCATGATGAGAATCAATGATATAATAGAAAAACGTATCTGACGATAAGTTCAAAATATGTAATGAGAAAAAGGTCGATCTTTTTAGGTAAACTCAATCCTCTCACAGATGTTAAAAGTACAAGGTTTTCATGAACTTTATAAAACTACTCAGTGCTTTTTGTATTAGCTAAACATATCGATGAATAGGGAGTAATGAACTGTAAGAGGTGCCTATTATGCTAAGCAAAGTAGCGGCAGTGCAACCGATGACGCGGGACGGTGTAAATCAAAACAATGATCCACAAATGTAAATACACGTAGCGTACAATGGCTAAATTAAGCGAAACAATAAGGATTGTGCGTTGTATTTATTGCAAGCTGCGCACAAAATGCTCGAGGAGCGTGAGAACGGACGTTTATTGACAACACACGAGTTATCGGAGGATTTGTCGGAAAATTAGGGTTTCCCCTAACTTGAAGGAACACCGAAGTAGATATTTATTAATAAATTACTACGTTCACAATTAAACGTAAGGAGACGAGTTTATTAAACCCCAATATACTAAAAATGTAGTAATTTTTACCTTGTTTCTAAATTGAACCAATTAAAATAAGTTTTCGAATTAGACTTTTATAATTATTCCCATCAATTCGTGGCCAACGGCCGTCACGATTACCTTAAACCTCATTACAGGTCACTTTTTCTGACCATCCCGTCACTCAAATTTGAACTTTGCCCATTTGAAGTTACCTCTTTCTTTCTATCGTCACTCGTATCCGACGACACATCCTACAATGTATGAACGATATTACAACGCATCGTTGAGTTTGAAAGGAATTCGACATGTAACGCAATTATCACAAGGTTTAATTTGGAACGCAGCCCGCGTCGAATTCTGATAATTGGCCTTATTAGGAAGATGGTGTTGTGACAACTCGAAAGTGTTATCGTGCCCATCGACAATGACGAAACGATGTTGTCTTCATTATGTGATGAGCGTTCACTATCTTGTCAGTTAAATTAAATGTATCGATAGATCACTCCGACGGTGAGAGGCCGCAATAGGAACACTTTCTATTTTTATGCGTGTGGTTAAAAAAAAGCGTTTGACCCTGTGATAAAGTCACGTCCATTTTCCAGCGCAGACTGTAAGTGAACGTCCTGGCTTTCTTATAATTTTATTTTGTCGATCTTCATACGATAATACAGTGTGAGAGAAGAGATACGAGTAAACGAGTGGTGTATGCAGCGGTGCATGTAAATTGGTTGAGGACGACCCGCTTAATGTTGAATTGTCTCGACGTATCGCTATTCTTGAGATAATTTCAACGATACTTTGCTTCTTATATAGGTTCGTGAATTGCGATGAAGCACCTTACAATGGACCTACAGTTAATGCCGTTTGTTGGCGATCTCAAAACTTATATATTCCATCGTTTTAGGACCATCCCCATTAATTTATGATTTTCTTTAGTCTCTTTCGAGGATATTAATTGGTATACTTCTGAACAATGTATTTAAATTTTGCCGACATTCATTAAGTTTCAATTTAAACAATTAACACCAACGTACACTCCTAGGTCAAGAATGTAACAGCAATATTCAATACATAAAATCAATCGCTTACATTCGATATGTTAATACAAGCTCGAATGAAAGATATCATTGTAATAAAACGTAATGCAAATGATTCATGCCAGTTAACAATTAAAACTTGCTTAACGTTTATACAGTACAACGAAAGGTAATTGTTTATTGCTCGACGAAGAATATAGACGCGAATTCCACACGCAGCCTCCGTCAAAGCTCTCAGCGGATCACCACGCGATATCGATGTAACCGGCAATAATAATTGCAGACGGAGTGATGAACGCACGCAATGTTGAATACCACGTGTAGTATGCAAGTCGATTTGGGGATCAATTTCGATCCGCCGAATATTGATATTCCCGAGCATATTTATAAAGTTTACAAAGGAATCATGTATAAAACTAGGTTTTTTTAAATCCAAAGAAATTTAAACCTAGATAGAAACCCTTTGAAACCTATTTAAAAACCTATTTAAACCTAAATAGAAACCCTTTGAAGTCAGCCTGTATAAGCTGCAGGAGGCGCTATCGCAGTAAACCCTGTAAAAGCGATAACTCTTCTTTTATTATCGCTATTGCAAAGGATGAGCGCAAGTGAAAGTTGCTAACGTGACCAGTTAAAAGGAGTTTTCGGAGCCTTGGCTTACTTGGGTGATCTGTATTAATTTCTATTAATTAAACGGTTTCTCAACCAGGTGGAGATCTGAGCGACGGTGACCACGAGCCAGCGTCGTCCTCCCCAGCGCCCGTGAGCTACGCGGCGGCGGCTTCGACCCCGCCTTCAGTGCCCGTCGACCCCACCGCCGACACCCTGGTGTCCTCCACCGAGACCCTTCTGCGCAACATACAGGGCCTGCTGAAGGTCGCCGCGGACAACGCGCGCCAACAAGAGAGACAGATCAGCTACGAAAAAGGTAAGCTGTAGTTCAGGTCCAAGCAAATGATTGGAATGAAGCAAAAGATTATAAATAAATCAAGGGTGTAAATAGGAAACGAACTAGATATTGAAGAAGATAATAAAGCAGATGTTATATGCATTCAATTAAAGCAAATCGATGTTTCGTTATAATGACTGGAGGAATCGATAGTTCATAATCGACTCGTATTGATTGATTCTAGCCGCAGCATCGCTCTTTTTGCCGGTGGCAAGTAATAGTAGTAGTTATTATAAAACCGATGTGGTTATAATGATCTGAGAAGTGGTTATATTATATAAATTATTCAATTTAGCACCTGGTACGGCTGGCTATAATTCCAAGGTGTGGAAAAAAGTATAATATAAAACACTGAGATTGGTACAAAATAAATTTTAGACAAAATAGAATATTTAAGATAACATCAAAAATATTCCAGTTGCACATCATGCTGAGCTGAACCAAATAATTCGGCAATTGTCATTATTAATCGTACAGACGTCATGTCTCATCAAAAGTCAAAATTAAAAGAATTAATCCAAAACTAACCGTTTCATTACACTTCTGTACTTATTAACGTAGACCTGGAGTGTCATCATCAAATAAACAGCACTATAAATTTACACGGAATGCAATCCAATACCAGCCAAGACTAGCTTACATTCGTAAGCGGTTCCTTTGAAAGGGGCAACAAAAATACAAGTAAAATAACGCGAATGCGTTTTCCACGCGAAACCGACGCGGAGTCATGTCGTGCCTTCAGCAAATACCCGTAGAACAGATGCGTCTGAGTTATGGCCCTACCCACTATTATTACACACGATTCTACTCGGACAGGATAATTGTTTAATTGATATTTCTGCGAGATATTCATTTACGTCACTCCGTTTTTACCGCGAGAGACCGTGCGCTATGGAATCTTGCAGTCATAACTGTCTATAAGTTATGATTCGGCAACACTTAGGCACTTATAAAATACACAAGTTTTATATTACTACAATCGACACTAGTCACAGCTCGTTGTTTGTATGATGCATTGTTGTTTATTCATCATGTTGTCTCTTAACATGCTGTTATGAAATGGACCTACTACACGTATTTGATAAAATTTCGAATAAAGTTTCCACCACTTTCAGACGTTAAAATGATTTGAAATTTTGCACATATATAAAAAACTTATATGTAAATGCTATAATTTCTTATTTTATAATGCTTTATAATAGAAACGGAGAGCTTTAAAATATGCATAAACTAATATAATTTTATACTTATAAAATAATTTTAACAATTTGAAATAAAATATATAACAAAATTAATTTATTTCTAATACCTTCTAAAAAATCATCACAAAATTGTTAAAACAAAAACTTTGTATTATTCTTTAAATAATGGATCCGAAACTTATGGAATATATTAAAGGAAACAAAAAGCATCGCTGCTTAAAAAAGGCGAACAAAACCCAATTGTTATAAAACCCATAAAAATACAGAGGAGGTCGGGGAGAAAACTCGGCACGAGTCATCATCAAACTTGAATATCAATATTGCGCCTCAGGCCAATTGTATTAATAAACAAAACAAAATGAGAAATAATAATTCTATAGGCCAACAAAAGGTTCCATTTCTCCCCCCTGACATAAGAGAAAGCAAAATGAATATCCATCTAATGCGAAGAGTTTAAGATAGAAAATCGCCTGTTCTGGTCCCAACCAGTAATTTTGTTATTACGATAATAAAATTATTGTTGATGAATTTTCTTTTCCGATCGACGCGTATGGTGAACTTTACTGTTGGATCTTTTTTCGAAATTACTGCAATCATGCGCTGATTCGCCGCGCGCCGATTGATAGGTGTTGCTGACGCGGACTCGCGTTTTAGTTGGCTGGAGCATTTCATCGTTGTGTTTACGAGGCAGGCTCCTCGTATCATCTCTTCGGGCGTTTTGCCTTTCGTCTATAAAAATATTTATCGTACTGGCTGCGATTGTGCAGCAGCTGTCTCTTCCCTTTAGTACGCCTAGTCTTCCTGCTCTTCATTTTCTATTTTTTCAATCAAAAACAAAAGTGTTCGCTAATATCCCTGATTTTATTTTTAACTAGAGACCCGCCCCGGCTTCGCACGTGTGCAATTTATTATACATATAAACCTTCCTCTTGAATCACTCTATTTAGTATAAAAAACCGCATCAAGATCTGTTGCATAGTTTTAAAGATCTAAGCGTACATAGGGAAGAGACAAACAGCGGGACGACTTTGTTTTCATACTATGTAGTGATGCACAGCAAAGAGACGTTTACATTTCAAGTGACGTTTTACCACAGTCACTCACTTGTTTTGCCTTCCAGGAACCACTCCACTAACACTTAAACTTTATGATATGGTATTAAAGTTCAAATTGACTTTTAAGTATTATTACGAATATTTTGTACGAGAATATAGAAAAGTGTTTTTTTTTAGACTTTTTCAGGCAATTTTTTAAATTTTTCTCTCCGTAAGATCCATTTTCCTACTTCAAGGAATATTATAAAGAAAATAGTTAGCGAAATCGGTCCAGCCGTTCACGCGTGATGGCGTGACCAAGGGAAATAGGGATTCATTTTTATTATATATATAGATGTAGTCTACAGTTTTCATAGTCTTATATGTTAAAGCGTGAAGTAGAAATGCTTTTTCGTTTTAAAGCTGGCAAGGATAGCAGATGCATTGCCCTAAGTTGTTATTTTAGGCAAACTCCCTGCTCGTGTGTATGTCTTGTCCTCACCCCTAATTCTTTTAAATCATATAATATGCATGTTATTAAAGTTTAAGTGAAATTTCAAGTCTATAATTGTTATTTCCATCTAGTATTCTAAGCTTTTATAAACTTCAAAAATGCAATCGGTCCTCTAAATTGGACCTGTCCATAAAAGCCGGTTGCTCGATACTCTGCGGTCTTCAGCTTTCAAAGAATTTCCTCGTTTTTCAAAGCCATTATATCTTTCTTTACATTATGTGCTATGATTAGTCTTTCTTTCGCATGTCGCATAAAATCTGCAATAGCCTAGCAGCCAATCATTAGACTTATCGTCAAAAACATATACAAACGAACATTATTTCGCCAGATTATTGAAAATAAAAATGTCTACTGTAGAAAAGGCTTTTGTTATGGACACCTGAGCTGTAAAGCTTGGACAAAGCTAGCGTCGGTAAGTATTTGAAATGCTTGCACAACACTCACCGAGGCCAACTCAGCGTTACAGAGACACCCTCACTACACAAATGGCAGATCGCAATCGGTCGCATTCGCTGACAATTTTTACACTAGCCCGTTGCGAGTGACGCACAGACAAATGCGTTCGCTTTCACCGCGCTATCAGATAAGCGGGAAGGGTTGCCTGAATAGACCCCACCGCGATAGGACCCCGACGAACAGTTCCCGTAAATGGGCTGGCGATGAATGACAAATGGTGACGCGTAAGTGATACTTCGCGTCCTCCAATTGCTCAGAGACTACAGAATGAGAAAGTACACGGCGGCGTTATAGTCAGATGGAAAGAAGAAAGTAATTGAATACCCCATAGATAGTGTTTCTACATTCAACATTAAACATTGAAGCTTTAAAGCGCACACTACAAGTTTCCTCTCTCGGCTGTTAAATCGAATGTTGTATAAATTTAAATACTTCTAATACGTTACCGGCAAATAAGCATAAAGATTAACTCACAACTTTAAACAGAACTGGGCTCCTACTTTCATCTTTAATTAATTTTAAATCGGCGCACAGGTGATCAATTCCATAGCATATACAATAAATTCACTCGCTCAAGAAGTTTATTGAAGTCGCTTGAACTGTTTATTACAATTATTTTCACGTAATCACTGGTAATCAATATGTTGTAAAAATATATTCATAATAATAAATGGGATTTAATTTATGATGAATAATTAAAGAGAATTGCAATATAAATAACTACTTGTTAAAAAACATATTTATGAAAAATATACGAAATATAAGTAGGTATATATTTCTTATCTAATTAAAAATTCATTAAAATTTACTTATGAAATTAAAAGCTATATAAGAAAATGCTTTGATTATTGCGAGCATCGCTGTGCATTATATTCTGTAAAATTTTCTAAACGGAAAGCCTGATATAATTTGGAAATCACGCGAATATTAAAAAAACGAAACCGGCCAAGTGCGAGTCGGACTCGCGCACGAAGGGTTCCATCTAAAAACGACAAGAACATCATTTGAGCCCCACTTAAATATTTTTTATTTTGTTTTTTAGTATTTGTTGTTATAACGGCAAAATTTTACTGTCGTAAGTATCAAGGTTTGCACACCCTGGTAATAGATGGGCAGACTGACAGACAGACAGGCAAACAGCGGAGTCTTTCTTTTTTTTTTAGTTACTTTCTGGGTACGGAACCCTAAAAAGGTATCATCAAAATGATTCGCAGGATATTCAACCTCTTTAAAGAGCACGATTAAAAAAACAACGCGCTACATATGCGTTTCCGAACTGTACTCGTACATATCTTGAGCGGTTCACGCGTTCCGTTTCAAATAAAAGCAACGCGCGGAATCGGTCCGATGGCAATCGCGTCGACATAAATCCTCTTCGGCTACTCTTTTAATCCCTTATCCCTGTTAATTCTTACCGCTTAGTTTATCCCCGGGACGAAATGGTCGGGTCTTGTCGCTCTATGTTTTGTTGTGCCCTTTTGTCTTACAACTATCGGTTTTTGTTAAGCTAAGTGCTGGTCAGCGGAGAAATGGCACACGCGCAAGTAGATACGACAAGAGTATTTTATGGAGCTGCGTACGCTCCTTTAAGACCCGCCGTGGCACATTTAAGGTGTATCTTGCTACTTAAAGCGTACTTATTTGAACGCACTCGATTTACGATAATTTTATTGGATGTTTGATATTCAATGGGAATAAATGTTTTGAGTCGTACTTTTGTGGTAAACGTCCGCAGCAATGGGGAATGCATTGTACCGAAAGTCCTCGAAAGAA